CCAGTCTTAACCTTAACCATATGTAACCAAACAAAATACAAGCCTGTTGGCATTTTATTTTATTTTTATAGCACTCACAGATTTTAATAAAATTGAGTTTTTTCTTAATATGGTACAAGGTCAAAATGACAGGTTTATATCTCATTGTGAGCAGACATTTGGTCACCACAATGCAACATATACATGCTGACTTTCTTTCCCTTTAGAAGAAAACAAATTGGGAAAAGGCCATAGGCCATGTCGAAGGATAAGAAGGGTAACTATAAAAGGGGAAAGATGTATCAAGGGAGTGTTTGAGTATTGTAACTAATAATCAACAAAATATTTATTTGACACATTAATCTTCAGAAATTGTTTGCCCCCTATACTATATTATTTAGAGTATCATGGACTCAACAGTAATTATTGTCATTTTATTATTCATTAAGAGCATAAGTACTGGGGAATTCTACCCATTGCATGTTCAAAATGGACAGTAGAAGTAGTTATCATAAAGATACACACACATATACACCATATAGACAGAAGTATTGGGACACCTGGCCATTACACCTACAGAAACTTTTGTGACATCCCATTCTAAATCCACAGGCATCAATATGGAGTTGGTCCCCCCTTAGCAGCTATAACAGCTGCCACTCTTCTGGGAAGACTTTCCACAAGACTTTGGAGTGTGTCTGTGGGAATTTCTGCCCATTCATCCAGAAGAGGATTTGTGAGATCAGGCACTGATGTTGCACGTGAAGGCCTGGCTGACAATCTCCATTCTAGTTCATCCCAAAAGGTGTTTGATTGGTTTGAGGTCAGGGCTCTGTGTGGGCCAGTCAAGTTCTTCCACACCGAACTGACTCTACCATGTCTTTATGGACATTGCTTTGTGCACTGGGGCACAGTCATGACATAACAGAAAAGGGCCTTCCCCAAAGTGTTCCCACAAAGTTGGAAGCACAGAATTGTCCAAAATGGCATGCTATGCTGAAGCATTAAGAGTTAGAGCTCTTAGTTCCTTCACTGGAACTAAGAGGCCCAGCCCAACCCCTGTAAAACAACCCCATACCATTTACTGTTCACCACCAAACTTTACAGTTGGCACAATGCTGTCAGGCAGGTAATGTTCTCCTCTCATCTGCCAAACCCAGACTCATCCAGCAGACAGAGAAGCGTGATTCATCACTACACAGAATAGTTTCCACTGCCCCAGAGTCCAGTGGCACTGTGCTTTACACCACTCCATCCGACGCTTGGCACTGCATTTGGTGATGATGATGAGGCTTGTTTCCAGCTGCTCGGCCATGGAAGCCCATTTCATGAAGCTCCTTACACAGTTTTTGTGCTGGGGTTAATGCCAGAAGAAGTTTGGAATTCTGCAGGTATTCAGTCAACAAAACGTTTGCAACTACAGTATAATGCATTATGTGCTTCAGCTCTTGGCAACTCTGTTCTGTTACTTTACATGGTCTGCCACTTAATGGGTGAGTTTCTGTTGTTCCTAAACACTTCCACTTTGCAATAATACCACTTACAGTTGACCATGGAATATTTATTAGCGAGCACATTTCACAAATGGACTTATTGCACAGGTGGCATCTTATCACGGTGCCACGCTTAAATTCAGTCCTCCTGAGAGAGACCCATTTTTTCGCAAATGTTTGTAGAAGCAGTCTGCATGCTAAGGTGATTTATTTTATACACCTGTGGCTATGGAAGTGATTGGAACACCTGAATTCAATGATTTGTAGGGGTGTCCCAATATTTTTACAATATAGTGTACAGCATATAAAATTAAGCACCTAGTCTTGCAGTCAGGTATGCAAACATATGCGAAAGAATGGATCATTCTGAAAAGCTCAGTGAATGGTACTGCCATAGGATGCCACCTTTGCAATAAGTCAGTTTGTGAATTTTTTTGTGGTATTATAACAAAGTGGAAGCAATTTGGAACAACAGCCACTCAGCCACAAAGTGGTAGGTCATGTAAAATCACAGAGTGGAGACAACGCATGCTGAGGCACACAGTGTGCAGACGTCGCCAACTGTCTGCAGAGTCAATAGCTACAGAGCTCCAAACTTCACGTGGCCTTCAGATTAGCTCAAGAACAGTTTGTAGAGAACATCATGGAATGGGCTTCTATGGCCGAGCAGCTGCATCCAAGCCTTATAACACCAAGTGCAATGCAGAGCGTCGGATGCAGTGGTGTAAAGCACGACGCCACTGGACTCTAGAGCAGTAGAAACGTGTACTCTGAAGTGAAGAATCACGCTTCTATCTGGCAATCCGATGGATGATTCTGGGTTTGGTGGTTGCCAGGAGAACCGTACTTGCCTGTCTGCATTCTGCCAAGTGTAAAGTTTGGAAGGGGGATTATGGTGTGAGGTTGTTTTTCAGCGGTTGGTCTTGGCCCCTTAGTTCCAGTGAAAGGAACTCTTAATGTTCCAACATTCAAAGCCATTTTAGACAATTTCATGCTCCCAACTTTGTGGGAACAGTTTGGCGATGGCCCCTTCCTGCTCCAACATGACTGTGCACCAGTGCACAAAGCAAGGTCCATAAGGACATGGATGAACAAGTCTGGTGTGGAGGAACTTGACTGGCCTGCATAGAGCCCTGACCTCAACCCGACAGAACACCTTTGGGATGAATTAGAGCGGAAAGTGTGAGCCAGGCCTTCTAGTCCAATATCAGTACCTGACCTCGCAAATGCTCTCCTGGAAGAATGGTCAAAAATTCCCATATACACACTCATACACCTTGTGGAAGCCGTCCCAGAATAGTTGAAGCTGTCACAGCTATAAAGCAATTCCATATTAAAGCCTATATATTAAGAATGGGATGTCGTTAAAGTTCATGTGTGTGTAAAGGTAAGCGTCCCAATACTTTTGGCCATATAGTGTACCTGTGGTAATGAGTCTGAATGAAACACCTGAATTCATTGATTAAGAGGTCTGCCCCAATACTTTTGTCTGTATAGTGTATTTATCCTTGCGGAATTGTATGAAAGAATTTCTGCAATGGATGGATTCTTGGAAACTAGGTATTACTAGTCCTGACATGAGGATTTATTAATGGTTTATTTTAATAACCATATAGTGCACTTTCTCTATGAGTATTGAGACAACCAGTGCAGCAATTTCTAAAATATACGTAGGCATCCAAGTGAAAATAACTATTATTTTTTACATGTTAAACATCATACTATTTATTACCCAATGGCAAATCTCAGCACTATGAATAAACAACTCAAGCCTGTCACTCTATCATTATTTTGATTTCTTAAACACCTGTTTACTTGTAAATATATTTTGAAAAAAATGTAATAGCGGTCTTGCGGTCTGTAATTAATGTGGTGTAGCTTGCAGGGACAGAGAATCTTAATGCATTCCTGTTTGCCCCCGAGGCACATTCTGAAGTAGCAAACCAATAATCCCTTTGTGAGATGTGATAGTGTAAATATAACCATAGCATCAAAACTTTAGCATACTTCCCATTAGCATTCTGACAGCTGTCTGCGGCAATTAATCGTCGGTGGTGTTTTTCGCTGGCAGAACACTAAAGAACTCAGTATCATTTCTATTGAGTGATGTGACAGGTTTAAATAAGGTATTCAACTGCACACACCTTCTCTCAAGTTAGCATGAGAACCTCTTTGAAGAAAGGCCCAAAGAAAAAAATGATTACATAGCTTGACATGACAAAACTCCTTTATTTTTGGCGAAGCGAAAAATTCAGAAATGATGATCATTGCAGCATTTGGTTCAAGCATAAAAATACTGATTTACTTTGAATTCCTTTCAGTAAAAAAAAAAATTAAAAATTAAAAGAGAACACAATGAACAATGGAAACTAAATCCTAAAAACCACGAATACTGGAGCAAAGAAGAACTCCGAACTGAAAATTTTTGCATGATGATGTTTGGTCTGGTATACAACAATCTATAACTACTGAAGAAATTAGTCAAGATTTCAATGCTACAATACAACCTGCTTAGCCTGTCTGGAGTGATATTGCTCTTTGAACTCAGCCACACAGGTAACAGAATTCAATAGAATATTTCCTTGTAAAATCACAATCATATTGATTTAAAATCTTTAAGGAATATTGATATTTGGCAGCATTTCAGTACATCAGATTGTTCACGGCAGAGAAAGCGAGCTTAGTTTATTATCGGAATGATTAAAAATTGTCCCATTTGTGTTCACTCTAAAAGCCAGAGACTGAAAAAAGAAAAAAAAAATCACATGGTTATTCAATCCCTGATCTAGACTAAAATGATTGTGCTCAGTGAGGCACAGGTGGTGATTTACCTAACCTGATTTGGTCATTAAGTCCCTTTGGCTGCTTCAGTGCCTCCTCCCAGAGGTCCTATCGTCGCACATCTCCAGTGATTAAAACGCAACCATTTGGCCCCCTAAACCAATTTCAAACCCTACTCTAATAACTGCCAGTACCATTCAAGCCAGCCAGCAGATAATGATATGAATTATGTAAATGTTAGAGGGAACTTCAAAACTAATAAGTTATTTGTATTGGGACGGGGGGAGGGGGGGTTGCTATGCAGCTAAGTGCTTTCTGAGGTGAATATGGATGAGCACAGGAGACACTTAAACACCTTTCAGTCTTTTTGTGAATTATCCTGAGGTCCAATGGGATTTAAGTCATCATAAGAAACGCCATCCCAGAGAAACTCCTATTCGGTCGTGAACGAACTGCAGCCATATTCACTTATGTGTAGTGTTACAGTTTATATAAAGGATAACCTTTGCCTAGTCTTTTAAATGCTATAGTATAGTATGAACAATAATGTAAACAATCCACAATCCTAATGCATGTCTCATACCTTGTGCCTTGTGATGGGTTGGCACCCCATCCTGGGTTATTCCCTGCCTTGCGCCCGCAGCTTCCGGGATACCCTGCAGACCTCTGAAACCCTGGATAGGATACGCGGGCACAGAAAATGGATGGATGGATGCAAACTGGTGCACAGTCATTTTAAAGTACCACGCAAGATGGTCATGGGTTGGAAATCAAATTGCTAACTATCCACCCATCTTCAATGCTTCTTATGTGGTACAGGTCCCTGTAGCCTCTTCTAGCAAACAAAGGGCAGAAGGCAGGGAAGAGTGTAATTTTATTCTTTATTTGTTTCTTGGTGCTTAAATTTATACACAATACTGCTTCTCATTATAGTCACAATAGCTAGCTATGTTAGCTTTGTAACATTTTCTTGGTATTTACGTGCTGGTACAAAGACTGATGTTGCTTCACCTTCCCCGCCTGCTTTCGTCATGCATTTCTGCCCCCAAGCACCTCAGGAAAGCCAGAAAATGAAGTTTATTTTCAAATCTTCGCGCAGCCTTTGACAGCATAAAGGACGGTTTGACACAAGAGAATAATGTTCAAATTCATGCTGAGAGAGCCCTCATTTACCTCAGAGGTGAGAAACATTGAATGGCGAGGTGACTTACTCGCTTGGCAGCTGTGACTTCGGGGGCAAATTAAGATCTGACCTTTACATTTGATACTTATGTTTTTCTTTTAATCGTAATTGAATCAGCATGAGTCATACAGCAAACATGCTCAGAAAATCTTGTTTTTCTTGCTATTCCACAAACAACACGATTTCTGTTTGGTACAGTTTTGACAATTCCTCTGTTGCCTGATATCCAGACAGAACGAGTAACATTTGTAGGAAATGTCTGCCATCCAGATTCCATCCAAAGGCATAATTAAATGATTACTTTCCCTCCTTTCCAATTCCTGACTGAAGAAGAAAAAGACTGAATCCCCCTAGTGGTGGACAGTTTAATGCAGTCTCATTTCTTACATTTAGATCTTAATTGAATGCTCACTCCTATTCTCATTCATACAAAACCTTTCAACTTTCACTGCTTTAAGGATCAAGCATTGTATGACGGAACAGCAGCAATAATCATCAAAAGTCCTTAACTTTCTCCGGTCACCAAAATAAGGAATATAAATGCTGGCCGACAGCCCATTTTGCATATTAATAGTAAGCTGCACATTCAGGCAAACTATTCAAAGCTCTAAGTTTGAAAACTTAAACTATTCATTGGAGTCTAGGTCATTTCTGTTCTGGAGAAATACATGCAACTTCAAACCCCCCTCCCCACATGGAAGATGAAACATAAGAAAGCACTCAAAGAGAAACAAAAAAAAGAGAAAATGGGGTAAAATCTATTCATTATATTCTTCTCGGCCACGCAGTCAAAACCATTACAGTGACTTTGCTTTCTTGATAATGCCACATCAAACCGTGATAAATATTTCACTGCACTGTCAGATTCCTATATGGCTGATTTAATGTTTTATTGATGCTGAGGCAACACCCCAAGTGATGCTTGGTTCATTTTGAACTTACCTACTGTAGAGAGGTGAGGAAAAGGTCACTGTTTAAGGATATGTCTAGCCAGGTGCTTCTTACATGTGAAGCAATCTGTGAAACGTATACGAGAATCTCCTTAATGTCTGGCAAATTTCCTAGGGCACACTGGGAACAGGATAACAGCCATTAGTGAAAAGAAAATGGTTAACCCAGGCGCCTTTTAGTTCATTCTTGTGCCACAAATCCTTACCAACCCGAGCATACAAAATAAGAAACACTTACAGCTTTCCGTAAACGGCTTAACGTCTGACTGCTTACCAAGGATTACATTCATCAAATTTTCTGCAAAATTGGAAGACAACGAAGAAGAAAAAATATTTCATACTCTTCACCAAAAAGCGTAGGGTACCATGGATTGCAGGAGCGTGAGCAATATGGAGAACAGAAAAGAAAAATAAATCTATTATAATTCCACAGAATAAAGAATTTACAGAGCAGAACACCACAAGGTTCTAAATACTGCATATACGGAACAAAATTTATAAGTGGTCAGACCAAGGTAACTCCCGTAGGATTAATTATGGTAAAATGAGTAATTAACCATGCAGTGATTGATCTGTGTTCACATGTTTAAGAAAGCAATCAAAGAATGCATATAAGCTCATATTTAAAACCATACATTTTTAATGTAAATATAAGAATTTTTTATTTTTTTTAATCTAGATTTTTTTTTTGTGAAGCGAATATTTCACCAGGGCCTCACACTTCCAGGGTTCAAATCCCCCCTCTACTCTGTATATGTGGAGTTCACTCTGTGGGTGTGTGTGTGTCCTGTGAGTTTTTTTTTCCCTCTACTTGATATTTCATGCTAAAATGGAATCAATAACTGATTGGCACTGTGCGGCATAACGGTACACTGATAAATACCTGCATTAGATGATTCCTACTTCTTTTTCCCCCCAAACGGCAAGAAATATCCTACGGAAAGAAAAAAAAAAACACTTTCAGGTCTGCCACGTCTAAGCTGTCTGGCTCTGTAATTACAAAGTCATTGGCATCAATCATTCTGTTGAGAGAGCCTCATTTTTTATCATCAATTACAGAATTACATTTTGGACACCAATCAGACAGACGCTGTCTCGAGCTGCCGGCGCCACTGTCATGCCTGTTAATGGAATTTTAAATCTCTTATGGAGAAGTGCAGGGAACTACTTAAGTGTGGCTCTCAATTAAGGAAAGAGTAATTTAGCTAATCTCCTAGGAGTTAGCGATAGGCCGCAATCAATGTGAAATTCATGTATGTGCGTCTCTTAACAGCGAGCGATTTTGTCCTTAAGCCGTTTCTTTGTCTAGTTCGTAAGATGCTCCCAGGATACAAAAAGAAAAAACTGATGCGATTAATAATTGATAAAGAAATTGTGCTATATCAAGGAGACAGTAATGCTGAAATTTCATTCCAAAAACAGAAATCGAATAGATTTTAGACAAATCCGTCTTCAATATCAAATTCTATTCTTTTCTCTCAGTGATTTACATACAGGCAGTACAGCAACTACTGAAATGTACGATAAGTGAGAGGTGACGAAATAACTGTCCCATAATATATGAGGTGTGGTTTGAGCATTTCAGGTACGTCCTTAAATATTTTCTTTTCTAACATTCAAATTTCAATGGTCAACACAATTCAGTATCAGCGCTAATAGGGTACAAATACAAGGTAGGTTATATTGACAGTACTTGTCATTAACATTATATTTAAATTTATATTATTGCTTAAAAATGTGGCTCTCCGGATGTTTGCCAAATATAAGCAAAATCGGTATGCTCTTTTTCGTTTATGTATATAATTGAGTAATTAATCGGAGGATAATGTGGAAGCTTCAACTGAAATATGCACAAGTTAACAGATTTACTGTCCTGACCATAAAAAAGTGAAAAATGAAGCATAGGTCTGTTAGCATGCTGATACAAATGCTATTTTACAATATTGCCGCAATTTAACAAGATATGGAGTCAGGTATATTGATTTTTCCCCCTCTCTAGTGCAGTTTGCCAAAGCAGATTTATCTCAGGAAGGAATCTGTTTAGCTGGCATAGAATATGTACATTTAGTAGACTGTCAAAAATACAGAGCGAGAGTTAGAAAGGCTGCAAGCTGACAAACTGCACAATAGCTTGTGATATTTAGAAACCAGAACAGAATATGAATGTGATCCTGCACATACTGCAGAATACAGGTAGAGAGGCAGCAATAAATGATGAGTATTATAGTAGGTAGTAATATGAACACATTATTTTATATTATATACATACACTCAATACCCTCCTACATAAATGAGGAGATGAAAATTACAGGCCGTTAGCCCTCCTTGGGCCTCAGTGACTGATTTTAATGTATTTCTCCTTTAACTTTGTCAAGGTTAAACATTAGTAACATCCATTACTAAAGCAGTTGTAGTTTTATATTCAAGTTCACAAGTTTTGGGCTGACGTTATGGCTGCATGCTGGACGACGCAATCTGCAAGTTCATGCACATTTCATGGCAGTGCGTGGTTCCCTATAGATGATTCACCAGTATATATACTCCACTGTCACCAAATATTTTCTTGTCAATAAGAAATCTGCAAATCTGTGAGAATGTTATTGTTTAAACTGTGCCGAGAACTGAGCATCTCACAGTGAATGTGAGCAACAATTTAACAATTTTAACAATTTTCCCGCATTTCCTTGGCTCTCAGTCAGTCAGTCAGTCAGATAGACAGACAGACAGACAGACAGACAGACAGTCAGTCAGTCAGATAGACAGACAGACAGACAGACAGACAGACAGTCAGTCAGATAGACAGACAGACAGACAGACAGTCAGTCAGTCAGATAGATAGACAGACAGACAGACAGACAGACAGACAGTCAGATAGACAGACAGACAGACAGTCAGTCAGTCAGATAGACAGACAGACAGTCAGTCAGTCAGATAGACAGACAGACAGACAGTCAGTCAGATAGACAGACAGACAGACAGACAGACAGACAGACAGTCCACTATTTCTATTATTACAACACCTTGTTTCAGGGGGCACAAATAACTTAGCTACTCCCTCAAGTAGAAATCATATCAGACAAATATAGTAACTGCCCAAAAGACATGAACTGTTATGACTGATTAATAATAAGTGATCAGTATGTAATAATGTAATTAACCCAAAACTAAGAGTGCACCATTACATTATTACTGCCCATCATGCAAAGTGTTACAATAATAATAGCAGTAGTAGTGAAAAACAATTCTATGCATATCACACCTATATTACCATTACACTTTATTAGATATATAACCCTTTATTATTAGTATTTTATGAGGTACAATGTTAATTAAACATATTACAACTATGTTAGCATTATTTGATCTTGAAGGTGCCCACATCGTCAAGGGCGACTGTTTAATGAGCCTCCATTGTCTCCCTTTAACCCCATCTCAGACTGACTTTCCCAAGGAGAATCACAGAATTTCAAGCACAGTAACTGTGTTATTCAGCGATAATCAGTACGTAGCTAAACTTTTCATAAAAAAATATATATTTTTCAGGAGTATTACATTATTTTTACTTAGAATTTGTATATTACATCATTCCGGATATACCTCTTAGATATAGGCATCCAAGGATATTTTTTCACATTTATAATTTCACATTTCTAATAATGAATATTTACCGGTATCACTGGCTATAATTGATAAAAAGGTGTCAAATGTCTCCTTTGAGCATCTTGAATTGCAATATCTGAGGTAATTATCCGTGTAAATATAGTATAAATGTAGTCATAACTAATGCCTTTTTTAAAATATAATTTGTATTTTAAACATATTGTACAACGATATACATGCATGGTAAAGGAAACTGTGTTCTGTTTAAGTGATTCTTTCTGGGTAGTTTCTTCCTCGTTTTGGGGTGCCATGAGTTAAATACAATATCATGGACTACAAATATACTCAAAAGTCTTGCATGCAAGGATACCCTTCGCCTCAGTAAAATATCGAGAACAGTTCATTTAAGCCTGAATTTTCAATTAATGTTATGAATACAAATGTCCTTTAACAGAAGAAAGAAATGTTTACACTGATTGTCTAGGATGATGACATTTCCTATGCGTCTAAATGTTTTACTGTCGGGGCCAAGCAATAAAACTGATGTTAATGCATCTGAAAAGCTCTCCAAACTATGCCTGGAATATTCCAGAGACGTACTTCATTAACAGTGTGATTTTAACATCCCCATGTCACGTTTCATGCGTATTACTCATCTATTCAAAAACGGTCCCCATAGGGGGAAAAAAACGGATATTTATCACGTTATGGGGACATTGTGTCCCCATAAGGATAGGTAAACCCGCTCGCACACACACACACACACACACACACACACACACACACACACACACACACACACAGTGCCCTACACAATTATTGGCATCGCTTGAAAAGATTTGTAAAAAGGATTAGAAAACATCCACCTTTTGGTGTAATAGCTTCATTTCACACTGAAAAAAAATAGAAAATTCCAACCTTTCATTGAAATAAATTTAATCAAAGAAAAAGAAATCCATCATCAAGAAATAATTATTTTTACCAATAATACATCTGCCACAATTATTGGCACCCATGGAAATTACAGTGAACACAATGTAACTGAAGCATGTTCTCCATGTAAATTGTACATATTTGAGTTGATTGGAGTGGGTAGGAAAGTTCAAGCTGTAATCCATGACTTCCTGATTAACTGGGGTACAAAGATGAGGTGACACAGAGGCCAAACTCCCTTTGTCATCCATCAACATGAGAAAGAGAACACACAAACCAAATGAGGGAGAAGCGTGTTGACCTCCATAAGGATATGGGTATAAAAAATTGCTACTCAACTGAAAACCTTCATGCTAACAGATTATATGGAAGGTTATCCACAAACGTACAGGTAAGTGCCTGGAGTTTGTGAAACGCTACTACAACTTTGACTGGAGCCATGTTCTATGGTCTGATGAAACAAAAATTGAGCTTTTTGGCATTGTACATTCAAGGTGGGTTTGGTGTAAAAAGAAGGATGGCTGTAATGAAAAGAACCTTATTCCAAATGTAAAATACAGTATGGTGGAGGGTATGTGATGTTGTGGGGCTGTTTTCCCTCCATAGGCCCTGGAAACCTCGTTAGGGTATATATGGCATTATAGACTCCAAGAAATACCAGCACATCTTAAACCAAAATTTGGTTTCCTCTGCCTGGAAACTAAAGCTGGTCCATCACTAGATCTTCCAGCAGGACGATGATCCTAAGCACATGTCCAAATCAACACAAAAATGGTTAGCTGACTGCAGAATCAAGCTTCTGCCATGGCCATCTCAGTCTCCTGACCTGAACCCCACTGAAAACCTGTGGGCTGAGTTGAAGAAGAGAGCTCACAAGAGAGGGCCTAGGACCCTGGGTGATCTAGAGAGATTCTGTAGAGAGGAATGGTCTCAGATGCCCTGCTCTGTATTCTCCAACCATATAAAAAGCTATAGAAGAAGACTCAGTGCTGTTATACTGGCAAAGGGAGGTTGTACAAAATGTAATGTAGTAAATGCTGGGGTGCCAATAATTGTGGCACATGTGTTTTTGTTGAAAATAATTATTTCTTGATGTTTTTCTTTGATTAAATTTATTTCAATGAAATGTTGGGTTTTCCTAATTTTTTCACTGCAACACCAAACTACTTCTAACCCTTTTTTAGAAATCCTTACAAGGGGTGCCAATAATTGTGGATGGCATTGTGTGTGTGTGTGTGTGTGTGTGTGTGTGTGTGTGTGTATAAAAAATGGAGCGTCCACCATAAATAAATGTCATTGATGAACAAACACGTGGTGGAAAGCGCTTACAGTGCTTATTTTGGTCTTTTTAAACATGACAACATATGGAGAAAATGAACTATGGTCATTCTTTTCTTTTTT